AGCAAGGAGACACAAGAGGGCCTTCTTAAATGAACAGTGCAAAGATATAGAGGAAAATAACAGAAAAGGAAAAACCAGAGATCTGTTCAAGAAAATTGGAGATATTAAAGGAACATTTGGTGCAAAGATGGACATGATAAAGGACAAAAATGGTAGGGACCTCACAGAAGAAGAAGACATCAAGAAGAGGTGGCAAGAATACACAGAGGAATTATACCAGAAAGATTTGGATATCCCAGACAACCCGGATAGTGTGGTTGCTGACCTTGAGCCAGGCATCCTGGAGAGTGAAGATTTCTCAGGAGATAGATAAGGTGGACAGGCACTCCCATTTCTCTAAGAACTTGCCATAGTATGCTGAGTTTTCCAAACAACCTCAGATATGCAGATGATACCACTCTGATGGCAGAAAGGGAAAAGGAATTAAAGAACCTCTTAATGAGGGTGAAAGAGGAGAGTGCAAAAAATGGCCTGAAAGGCAACATAAAAAAAAATTAGATCATGGCCACTGGTCCCATTACTTCCTGGCAAATAGAAGGGGAAGATATGGAGGCAGTGACAGATTTTACTTTCTTGGGCTCCATGATTGCTGCAGATGGTGGCAGGAGCCATGAAATTAAAAGACGTCTACTTCTGGGAGGAAAGTGATGACAAACCTAGATAGCATCTTTTAAAAAGCAGACATCATCTTGCTGACAAAGGTCCGGATAGTCAAAGCTATGGTTTTGCCAGTAGCGATGTATGGAAGTGAGAGCTGGACCATAAAGAAGGCTGACTGCCGAAGAATTGATGCTTTTGAATTGTGGAGCTGGAGGTGACTCTTGAGAGACCCCTGGACTGCAAGGAGATCAAACCTATCCATTCTGAAGGAAATCAACCCTGAGTGCGCACTGGAAGGACAGATCCTGAAGCTGAGGCTCCAATACTTTGGCCATCTCATGAGAAGAGAAATCTCCCTGGCAAAGACCCTGATGTTGGAAAAGTGCGAAGGCAAGAGAAGGGGACGACAGAGGATGAGATGGTTGGACAGTGTCATCGAAGCTACCAACATGAATTTGGCCAAACTCCAGGAGGCAGTGGAAGACAGGAGGGCCTGGCATGCTCTGGTCCATGGGGTCGCAAAGAGTCGGACACGACTTAACAAGTAAACAACAAACAACAAGATATAGATACAGAAATAACAAAACAAATAAAAAAACCAAACCAAAAAAAACCCCAATACACACACAAAACAGACTATCAAGTTGATTTTGACTTACATCAACCCTTTTCACAGTTTTCTAGGTATAGTCAGAAATGGTTTACTATTTCCTCTTTCTGGGGATGTCCTAGGACTGTGCAGCTTGTCCAAAGCTATATAGGCTGGCCTGGAGGCACAACTGGGACTCTCACTCCCAATCTTTGGCTCCACATCCAGATATTTAACTCACTGAGCCATGAACCCAGCTAGATAAAAATACAGATCTAATCTGCTTTCCAGGAATGTTTATATATTTTAATCTGTTTTCTTATGCACTGTTTCTTGAGCCCTAATAGGGATAAAAATGTATAATTAATAAGTCACAATTAGAATAGTTTGTTTAGAGTAAGACACTCTAAACAAGGCCCATTGAATCTAGGGATTTGGTGGTCATATTAACCCAGTAAATGCAATTTAATAGAATGATTATTATACCTGATCTTCTTCCAGAAGTATCAAACTAACAACTGCAATGTTAATATTGCCCCCAATTGTTCCATCTCTGAACAAAGCAGAAACCTAAAAGAAAACACACAGACAAAATCAAGCTGTTGGAGCTTTTGGTTAGTGCCATCAAGAACAACTATTTGATCTCATTCAAAAGTCATGTTGCAATCTCCTGTTCACTGAAAGATGATTCAAAATATGTCCATTAACTATTCCGTTTAATCATCCAAGAAACTTTTCTTCTGCCTCTAGCCCAGAAAAGGTTAACCATTTGTTAGCACAGAACTCTGTTTTTTCCCAACTTCTACACATTAAAAAGATATTTTAGCAAATTAGAAATAACACAGCACAATCTAAAGAAAGTCAAGTAGTTAAGTCCCACTGATTTCAAAGCAAGAGTAAAGTATGTGCAGAATTAGTACAAGAGCTCACAGAAAACTAAAATTTTACTACCCACTCACATTTTATTCTATGCTGAACAGAATAAACCAGTGTTTCCAAATATGGGGGTCATGACCCCCAAGGGGAGGCCACAAAGTGTTTTCTGGGAGGCCATGGATTGCCTTATATGTGTTGCAGCCCTTGTTATATAATTTCTTCCTTGACCTTTTGGAGCAGGAAACTGAAGTTCGTGCATATGTGTATTATGAGAGCCAAGCCCTTTGGGAGAGAAAGTAGCCTCTAGTTTGTAAGAAGGGATGACTATACCCCATTAAAATGCTTTTTTATGCAAACATGGTGGAGGGAGGTGGCAGGTTACTTGGCTGTTATAAAAGGGATCTGTGACTTGAAAAAGATTCGGAACCACTGGAGTAGACAGAAGGTTTAAATGAGCAGAAATGGATGGGTATAGATTTTACCATAACATTTCTCAACACCTAGACTTTTCCATACACCTCCAGGCAACTTTGATCAGAATACATCTTCATCAGGTGTGGGGAACTTTTGGCCCCCCAGATGCCTCAAACCTTTTTTGACACTGTTGTCTAAAAGGCAGAGTATCCAGTCAGCTGATGAGTTACCCTTTGCGGGCTTCTCAAAATATAATGACTGGTTCTTTTTCAAGAACCTTGACAGCGCTGGGACGGGGAATCTTTGGCAGTTTGACACCCAGGAGAGCAGTCTGCTTTACTTCTATGGATGGCCCAACTCTGGAAACATGATCAATCCTGCTTCCAAGATCCTGGGGACTTAAAGATATTTTATTTTGACTGCTATTTTTTTAAAAAAATCACAATTTAAGTTGCTTGCATAAATCTTCCATTAAAAGAAGACTTGGCCTTCAAAGTAGTATCAACAGGCATGTTTTATTCCAGAGTTGCAGGGCATAACGCAGTATGCTGTGCTTGGAGATTCATTAACTTTTGCTTCTGTGTTTCCCAGATTTCATCACTCTGCTTTGAAGGAAACAAACAACTAACCAAACCAAAAATACAAATATAAACTCTCTTGTTGCTGTTTACAGCCAATTTACAGCTTTGCGGTTTTCTCCTGGGAAACATACATTATCTGTGTCAATATTTATTGGCTGAAATTCAACAGTAATTAGAGTATATCCACTGAAGGGGGGGATTTGATGACTGAACACCTATATAACTTTCACTAACTCAATGGGCCTCACTAATTGTAACTTTATTACTGAATTTCCAACATTATCATGTTTCTTGCCAGCTGTCCATTCTGTGATAAGGAGCAAGAGTGGGCACCATGGCCTTATCTTACCACAGGTTTTCCACAGACTGATCCTGTAAATACTTAACGCTACCCTTTGAAATCAATAGGATTTGATTTGGCCAGACTACATTTTGAGTTTTTTGAAAACCACAAACCTCTTTTACTATCAGTCAGTAAAAAATAACTTGTGGCACCTTAAATGCATTAAGACATAAGATTTTCTGAGCCAGAGGTCATTTTTATAGCATTTGTTGTCTTTGCAGCTTTGGCTAGCCCCTTTCCCAACCCGCAAGTTTTAGATAGCTGAGCTTGGGCCTCCCTAATTATTTTTTTAAATTTTATTTTATGGTTAACTCTCTCTCTGCTATCAGTAAAGCATTTATTGCTGTGTAATTACATGTGATGCCTTTGACATATTTAGGGAGAGAGTATGTTATAGTTCTTGTTAATTGTGATTTATATTATTGTGCCCAAAGGGAAGTGGAGGATACTTTATATTATGCATTGTATTGCTTTTGATATATTTTCCTAACATCTTTTTTTTTAAAAGGAAATGTTTAGTAAACTTCTCAGTAGCTGATGCTGAGAAAATCTGTTCCAACATCATTTAAACTTGCCATGTTTACTGATGCTACGGATAGGCCACTTGTGGCCCTCCGAATGTTGATTGTGCACATCATCTTAGAACTGTATGGCTGGAAGGGACCCTATGGATCATCAAGTCCAGACACTGTCAAAGAGGCATGATGGAGGATCAAAATCGTCCTGGTTTAATCCAGAGCTGCGATCAATGAAGTGAAATAGAAGGCTAGCGCGCATATGGAGGCGGAACCAAAGGAAAATAATTTGTGGCCCTCCGAATGTTGATTGTGCACATCATCTTAGAACTGTATGGCTGGAAGGGACCCTATGGATCATCAAGTCCAGACACTGTCAAAGAGGCATGATGGAGGATCAAAATCGTCCTGGTTTAATCCAGAGCTGCGATCAATGAAGTGAAATAGAAGGCTAGCGCGCATATGGAGGCGGAACCAAAGGAAAATAATCAAATAGCTGCGCAAATATGGAGGCGGAACCAAAGGAAAATAATCAAATAGCTGTCAGGTTTGCAAGTAACCTTTACTAATCTAAGGTGAAGGCTGTTAGTCAATCTTACTTTGCTGTCTGGATAAGCGAAGCTTCCAATCAGCAGGCGGAACTCTTCCATATAGTCCACAATCTATCCGGAGTTGGTCATAGTGACTGGCCTACCACTAGCATCTCACCTGACCAATTTGCAGCCTTTTTAAAAACAAAAGTGGAGGCCATCCGCCGGGATCTTACCACCTATTTAAAAACAGTGGATTGAGCAGAGACGTCCAGCATGCCATCTTGCTTGATTAGACTTAACCACTTTCAGCCTGTGATGTCAGACATGGTGGACAGAGTGCTTGACCGCGCCACCACCTCCTCCCTTGTGCCTTGCCCGACCTGGCTAATCAAAGCAGCCAGGCCTATAACATTTGAATGGGCTATGGCAATAATTAATGGGTCTCTCCAGGAGACACTTATTAGGCCCATTAGGAAGAAACCGAGCTTGGTGGCGGATAATATTGGTAATTATAGGCCCATCGCCAATGTTTCTTTCTTCAGCAAGGTAGTTGAGAGGGTGATGGCTAATCAGCTGCGCTTCAGGCTGCACCACAGCATGGAAACGGCATTGGTCACCCTGTTTGATGACCTACTGAGGGAGGCCGACAGGAGCAAAATCTCTCTGCTGGTCATCCTTGATTTCTCAGCCGCCTTTGATACCATCAACTACAGTATTCTCCTAGGAAGGCTCCCTGATTTGGGAATTGGTGGCCTGGCTCCATTCCTTCTTGGAGGACCATCCCCAGAGAGTGCAGATTGGAGAGAGTTTCTTGGCTCCATGGAGCCTCAACTGTGGGGTTCCACAGGGCTCAATTATCTCTCCAGCGCCATTTAATATCTATATGAGACCGCTGGGAGGGGTCAGGAGAGGTCATCAAGGAATGTGGGGCTTCATGTCATCAGTACGCTGATGATACTCAGCTCCATATCTCCTTTTTTCCAACAACAGTGGATGCTGTTTCATCCCTTGAGCGCTGCCTGGAGGCCGTTCAGCAATGGATGCAGGTGGATGGACTGAGGCTAAATCTGGGCAAGATGGAGGTCCTTCGGGTGGGTGTCCCAGAAATCAGTGGTCTGGGAAACTCCCCTTCCTTTGGGGGGGTGCCTCTTACCACCAAGAGTGAGGTTCACAGTATGGGTGTACATCTGAACCCAGCACTCACCATGGAGACCCAGGTGTCTTCAGTTGTCCGTTTCACACATTTCTACCTTTGGTGGCTTGCGCAGCTGCATCCCTATCTTGATGTGGGGGTGCTCACCACTGAGCACTCATAGTCTCAAGATTAGACTACCGTAATATGCTGTACGTGGGGCTGCCTTTGAGACTGACACGGAAACTTCAGATGGTACATAAGGCGGCAGCCAGACTTCATTTGTTTCCGCTCTGATTTCAAAGGTCTTACAATTACAGTGCTGCCTTTCTTGACAATGTTAATTTGTTCCAACGAAATCGCTGCAGAAAGCATATTTCCCACACACTGGCCGCCTTGCATTGGATGCCCATTTGTTTCCGCACTGATTTCAAAGATCTTACAATTACAGTGGTGCCTCGCTTGACAATGTTAATTCGTTCCAGCGAAATCACTGTAGAGTGAAATCGTCGTCAAGTGAAATTTTTTTAAAAAGCCATTGAAACACATTGAAAACCGTTCAATGCGTTCCAATGGATGAAATACCAGCTTGTCCAGCAAAGATCCTCCATACGGCGGCCATTTTCTGGTGCATGTAACACAAGGAATCCGTCCCTAACACAGCGGGGAGCCATTTTTTTTACAGCCGGCAGTCATTTTGAAACCCGATGATCAGCTGTTTGCTGATCATCGTAAAGTGAAAAATCGGTTCCCGAAGCAGGGAACCGATCGACGTTAAGCGAAATTCCCCCATCTAGACATTGTTTTGCGATCGCAAAAGCGATTGCAAAAACTTCAACATTAAGCAGATTCGTTGTCAAGTGGGGTAATCACATCTGGCAGTGTGCCTCCTCCCACCCAGTTCTGCCGGAGTCAATCATTCCAGCCAGGCCGGGTAGCTGAGGGGCCTAATGCCGAGGGAGGTCCAGAAGGAAAGAATGCAGCGTGCCTCCTCCCACCCAGTTCTGCCAGAGTCAATCATTCCAGCCAGGCCGGGTGGCTGAGAGGCCAAACACCTAGGGAGGTCTGAAAGAAAAGAATGAGGAACCGGGCCTTCTCGGCAGTGGCTGCTCGCCTTTGGAACAGCTTGCCAGTGGAGATCTGCCTGGCTCCCTCTATGGGTGTTTTCAGGAATAAACTTAAACCTGGCTATTTCGGCAGGCTTTCCCTCCTGCCATATCTTAATTTCTTATACTTTTGCCATCTTGGATTTTTAATATATGCTTATTGGTTTTATTGGTTTTAAATTTGTAAACCGCCCAGAGTAGTCCTTTGGTCTAGATGGGCAGGACAGAAATCCAATAAATAAATAAATAAAAATAAAATAAAAATAAAAATCTTAACCTCTGGTTCTGCGGCCAGATGCCTAAACTACTGAGCTATTCAGCAGTTTTTTACACTGCAACTCCTCCTCAGCCCTAGGAGGTTGGTTAATCAATATAGCCAACTGAAAAAGATGATGGGGATTCATTTCCAACAATACTCAAAAGGGCCAAAGATTGCCCTCCCTGCTCTAGCAGCTCAAAACCAGTGAGGCTCCTTTCAGAATAGGTGATGGTAATATAATATACCGGAGACCATTTATGAAAATGTTTGGCAGCTTCAGCGAGTCCAAAATACAGCAGCAAGATCGTCAATTGGGGCTGGTCACAGGGATCACATAAGCCCCATTACAGAAGCTCCACTGACTGCCCCAAGCAGAATTCAAAGTGATGGGTCTAACCTATAAAACTCTAAATGGCTTGGATCCAAGCTCTCTCAAGGACCATGTCTCCCTTTATGTTCCTGTCCAGGTGTTAACATCATCAGGAGAGGCCTTTCTCTCAATCCTGCCTTCTTCACAGGTATGTGTGGTGGGGACATGGAAGAGGGCCTTCTCTGTTGCTCCTCCCAGACTTTGGAACTCCTTCCTGAAAGAGGTCAGAGACCATTTATGAAAATGTTCAGCAACTTCAGCGAGTCCAAAATGCAGCAATTGGGGCTGGCCACAGGGATCACATAAGCCCCATTACAGAAGCTCCACTGACTGCCCCAAGCAGAATTCAAAGTGATGGGTCTAACCTATAAAACTCTAAATGGCTTGGATCCAAGCTCTCTCAAGGACCATGTCTCCCTTTATGTTCCTGTCCAGGTGTTAACATCATCAGGAGAGGCTTCCCGTCCAGGTGTTAACATCATCAGGAGAGGCCTTTCTCTCAATCCTGCCTTCTTCACAGGTATGTTTGGTGGGGACATGGAAGAGGGCCTTCTCTGTTGCTCCTCCCAGACTTTGGAACTCCTTCCTGAAAGAGGCCAGATTGGCCTCATCTTTTTTGCCCTTCTGCAAGCAAGTGAAGACCTTTCTGTCCAGGAATATTTTCCCTCAGTGACTGGCTGCTTGAGTGTGGATTTTATATGAATGGTTGTGCCTTTCTGCACTGAATGTGTTTTGTTTTGTTTTTTGGTGTACCCTCCCTTTCTCCTTAAAAAGGACCCAAGACAGCTTGCATCATTAAGACAGCATCAAAACTAAAAACAGTTAGTATACAAATGCTAGAAAGGATCAAACAAATACAACACTAAAAGATGGTAAATAAAAGAAACACCACTACCCCAAGTTTCTAAATAAATAAAGTCCCTGTGTATATTATGTCAGCTGATTTATACACAGGGTGCACTCTTCTCCTCCGCTCTACTTGACTTACATCAACAATGTGAAGAGGGAATCCAGAGGTGGGGGAGAAAGGGTATTTAATGATTGAACATACAGTACAGGCCAGAATTCTGTCAGAATCACACAGCATAAACTAACAATTGTCTGCAGCACATTTGTAATAGAGTGACAAACTGCAAATTCAGTTCTGCACCCAAGCAAGTGACAAGACAGTTACAAAAATGTGCAGACACTTGCATGATTCGTTATTTGCAAGGTAGAATTCTGACTGCAGTGTTTTAAACTGACATAATTTGAATTCTGTCAAAGTTTTCATTACCCCACTTGTCTTTGAAAAGGGACCATCGTACCATATTGAGTATAGTCAAGACGTAAGTAGTGATGTTGTTGCGGCCATGGTTTTGCATCATCTTTTTGTCAACCACCACTAAAGTTTCAACATTCAGTTCTTTGTTCCTGTGGGTCTTCAGAAGAGATCGCTTGTTTCGCAGCAGGTACTTATATTCATCTGGTAAGATATAGGTGTCTCCCCCTGGAGGCTGGGGCATATCTGCAAGATGCAAGACAAGAGATGTCCAAGTAAAACCAAAGATTTTGTGTGTGTGAAAGAAAGTGAGTGAGTGAGTGAGTGAGTGAGTGAGTGAGTGAGTGAGTGAGAGAGAGAGAGAGAGAGAGAGAGAGAGAGAGAGAGAGAGAGAGGTGTGACAATTCAAAAAGTTACACACATGTGCTAGATGCTGGTAAGCAACCATAAAAATAAAAGATAGAAGCAGATATGTGCAGAGGGCCTCATGGTAATCCTCAATAACTCTGGTTAAAGCAGAGAGCAGGTATGTGGGGCTATGGAGTGCAAGCCTATAATGCCACGTCTCCAGCTACATTGGGTGATGGAAATCTATTCAACATTATCTGGTGAACTTCCCTTCTCATGTGCAGTCAAACACTTTCACATAGGGGAGGTTGAGAAAAGTTTCAATTGATAACTAGGAGAGTTGTAGGCAGGATTGCATATGTATGAGATCAACATAGTGGCTTCTGGACTCCAGTGAGTCCTTCTATGGAAATTTGCCAGAGTTTTGAATAGTTTTTTTTTGTTTTTGTTTTTTTACAAAAACACTGAGGATCTCTCAGCTACTGCAACTGTTCATGCTGACCGGGGTGGTGGTGGTGGTGTCTGGTAGTAACACCTCCCCCCAAAAAGTAATTCTTCCAAACTCTGATCTGTATGCATCCCTAACTCTATGACTACACCAGAATACCACCAGAGTTCTTGACATTTGGCTTTTCCCCTTTAACCTTTATTTTCTAGCCATCACTTTATATGTACTTCCATCTTTTATGTTCCAAATCAGTCTAACTAAACAAATCTAAACATCAGCTGGAGTGTGCCAAGATGTTAGGGCAGAGACTGGCAAATATACTGTAAATATATATACCACCCAGGATATATATATTTGCCAGTCTCTGCCCTAACATCTTGGCACACTCCAGCTCCTGGGTGGTATATGTCCACATAAACATATTCAATTAAAAAAATGAGTCTTATCAAAGCTGGTGATGGAAGCAAAGAACAATGAAGCATGTGAAATATCTGTCCCAACAGCCATGCTCTTATAGGTAGGGAACACCTGAAGTACTAACTTCAGGAATAATGAACCTTGGAAAGTAAAGCCCAGAAAGTTATTACACAGAACATAGTGACATGTTCAGATTACAGGAAGTGTTGACAGTGTTTTCTTGCACAGCTGAGACACATACAGCTAACACCATACAAGACACATCAATCTTGGATGTGTGGATTTATGGGGTTTGTTTTCTTGCATTTGGAAAAGCCATCGGTCATTTGGGCTGGTGGACTCTAGGAGAATGGTGGCCCAGAAAGAAATGTTTGTGAGCTCTCTTCTACTTCCTAAGTCTTAGCTGGGCAAATGTTTGTTTACTGGAAAAGGAAAATTGAACTATGCATCAACAACATGAACAACAGCTACACAGAGTATAATGAGTAGGGAAGAAAAACTGTGTCCTTACATACATTTCTTGCGCCTTCCACAAAAGTGCTGTTTGTGCCGCCGCTCGGAACTGTGGTGGTGCTGGGCTTCTCGAAGGACATTACTGTGAGCATCCACTTCCCTTTGCCTCTCATCATTCACAGTTACCTCATTATCAATTGACCGCTGAGGCTCAATAGATCTCTTGTACAATACATGAGAATGGTGGCCGTGAGGAGCAGAGAAGTTATGTTTAAGTGCAAGATTGGGAGGTAGTGGTTTCAGTAAGTAATCCGCTTCCTGCGTCCTTATCAAGCCTGACTAGAAAAACAAAACACAATTAAGAAGATAAGACCAGTGACTTCAGATCGCCACCCAAGAGACATCTTTTAAGAGGAGAACTGGCCCCACTGGCTGGAGTAATCTGGGAGACATAATACTTTCCCTATTTCTGGTTTATTGTTACTTCTACACTAACTTCAACAGTAGTTGATACTGGTCAGGGTTACAGTAGTTCAGGTATTACACCAAACTGAATCGTCTTATTCAGTGGTTGTGTATTGTGACCTATCTGGTGCTCAACATTTACTAACACATTGTAGAAACCTAGACCTCTAGGTTCAGCCGCCTGACAGACTGTCACACATGGCTGATGGGCTGCATTTGACTTGTCTTTCTGCATGGTGCATGGGTTCACAATAAAAGGACACAATATTAACTGTGTGACAACTAAGCAGAATGCAGAAGTCTGCTATGAAAAGGGAAATAAGTCTGCAGTGCTCTGTAACCAAGGGCAAACATGTTTCCAGTAGCAGTGGCTATAGCTCATCTAGTAAAACAGTGGCTCCAAACCTTGGGTCCCCAGATTTTCTGGACTACAACTCCCAGAAATCCTGGCCACCACAGCTGTGGTGAAGGCTTCTGGGAGTTTCAGTCCAAGAACAGCTGGAGACCTAAGGTTGGGAACCACTGTAGTAAAAGATAATGTCGAAAACTTATGTTGCTATAATGGCTTTCTTCATGCTAAAACACACACACACACCCAAGGCACAATGATCTATGCAAGATTTTGATACTACAGATTCTTTTCTAGCCATGGCGTAACAAAAAAACTTTTTGCTGAGCATAAGACTTAGGAGCCATACCAGACATTACAGCAAGCTTCTCCAACCTGATGCCCTCCAGCTAAGCTGAACTACAGTCTTCATCGCCCCTGCCCACGTGGGTTAGAAACAGATGGGCGTAATAATACAACACAGCTGGAAAGTGCCAGGCTTGGAAAGCACACACGGTCTGACTGCTTTTTTTTGTAGCAGTCTTGTGTTCCTTTAAATGTGTCTTTTCACACTAAGAGAGATAGCATTTGTTATGTGTTGTTTTTAAAAAAGATGTTAGCACCATTCTTGACAGTATTATACATCAGACTATTTAATCTTGAGCACGAGGGAAATTGTAGTGACCTATCCATTTGGGAATTTTAACATGGAAGTCATCACAGAACTAGAAACAGTACCAAAGGAAACAATTCTAATTTGGCAAAGAAAGAGGCTGGATGAGCTAATAGGTCTTTTCCACTGCTGAACATTATGATTTTATATTTCCTAATATGAGGCCAAGTACTTGTTTGCCCTCTGGGTCAAGCATGTAGTAGCTCTTGTGGTCTCCAAACTCTACCTCTAATAGAAAGCATTTTACATGTTATTGTGTTGCCATATCAACTTACAAAACACAGTACAAAGCGCTCCAACATGCTGCTGTGACTAGTATCTTTATATACTCCCAAGACAGTGGTGATGTGGGGAAGATCCGGGTGACCTCAAAGTATCGGTTTTCATAGCCAGTCAAATATATCATTTGGGAAATATGGATCTGAAGTCCAGCTTCTAATTAGGGTAGAAATGTTCATTTTCAGAAGGAACACAGGGACTCCATGGGGAGATCTATGGAATGACTGGGGAGGTGGCAGATATCTCCATGCTATACTAGAGCTCTTTTGCTCACATGTGCAAAGTTTTCCACTATGCCTCTGCACACCTGCCTACATGTATAGCCAGCGTTTGAATGCAATGACATGAATTCACTCTAGATTTTGTCAGAACAAATCATGGCAAGATGGAAGCAAATTATGAATTGCTCTCTAAGAAAATGAGCCAAGATAAAAGACAGACATAAAAAGAAGATATATAATAGTTTGAGGCATTTCCACTGTCCAGGATTCAGGGTTTTTTTTGGTGTGTGTTTTTTTAAAAAAACAATGGTCAGAATCCTATTGATGTTTGTGAAAGGTTTGTGCAATTTGGTGTAGCTACTTTTGACCAATGGTCAAGGTGTCATGTGCATCTCCACTGTGTGCTTGGTCATGCATCTGAGATGCACTCCAGCACTCCATCAATTAATCACAATTAGTTACAGCAGTTTAAGCACATGCCAATAGGATTCCAGCCAATGCTGGACTGACCTGAACACAATATTGGGTCATAAGATGATGGTAAAAATGACACTCTGAAAAAGAGTGCTGTCCTCTGAAGATGCCAGCCACAGAGACTGGTGAAATGTTAGGAAGAACAACCTTCAGAACACGTCCAAAGAGCCCGAAAACCCACAACAACTATTAGATCCCAGCCGTGAAAGCCTTCGGAATAATCTCTTCTCAGGTAGAAGTGGTGTTCATGTAGTATCCTTCTCATTGTATACTCACATTTCCCTTGAGCCAAAACACCACTGCTTTCTGCTACTTGAAGCTTTTACCTACTCCTTCCCATCCCTCAAGGCCCTCACAACTTGTTGGAAGGCAGAAGGGAGATGAAGGGATGGTTCTGGAGACAACAATGGCAGAGTCTGAGCACCAAAGCATTGGATTAAGCAATTTGACAGAACTCACCTTCCCATTATGAAGTATACTGAGACTACATGTCACAGCATCCACAAGGGAACAAGGGAAGTTTGTGTCCACTGTATTCATGTCTTAGTCAACATGAATGCATGAAAACAGTATCAGCCTCTAAACTGGGATGCTGTGATGCATAATCTAAGTGTTCTTCACAACAGACGAGGAAGCTCTACCAAGGAGCTGCAACCACCTCTGACCTCAGCTGTATCCCCTTCCTCCTGCTCCAGGAAAGTTGGGATGACCCTTGGACAGGACGGGAGAATACAGAATTGGAGACGCAGAGGCAGCAACAGCATTCCAGTACCTACATATGTTTTATACTTGCTTATTTGGAGCTTGCACAGAAAAATCAAGTTCCTTTCTGGCGAATGAAGAAATAGCTAAGCATCCCTAAATATTATTATAAGTTATTATTATTATAAGTTATTTTCTATAAAGTCACACATATGCAATCAAACCAAACAAGAGCCACTCCCAACTGACTCGTTTTGTGGCTCCCACCAAAAGCAGCACCTGTTGTAAGATCTTTGTCCAAGATCATACAAAGGCAATCCAATCCTCCGAATCAAATTAGGCGATTGATCCTTCCCACTCTTAGCCCACGTACTGAAATTAAGTCAGCAAGTTTTAACATCATTTCTGAAAAACAGATGATCTCAATGCTATTTAGGGTGGGACCATCCGGTTATATGGGACTAGAAGTCACGATCTTCATGTGCAAATGTGCATCATGTTTATATATAAAAAACATCTTGCCGTACACTGAATCACATCACTAATCCTACTAACTTAGTACGTACATTGGTTGGCACCACTTCTCCGAATTTATACATTCTGTCTGTGCTTTGCAGACAAGCTATTATTTGTGGTCACCTCTGACCTTGAATTTCCCCTAGGGCAGATACAGACAAGAAAGCAGGACTAATTTCTCATAGCAATACTTGACAACAGTGAGACTTCTCAGTTTTTTTGGATGTTCCTGAAACACAGCAGTCCACTGCAAGACTCTGATCTCCTTGTCAATGTCAAGCTTGAGAAGGGGCAGAATTGTTTCCTTCACATCATGCTGAGCTTGCAAAAGACTCTAGAAACCTTGCTCATTTTTCACTTTCTGCCAGTCATTGGGGGCTGAGAGGTCAAGTGACAGGCATACATGTATATGGACCGCAACCCACTGGGCTATTAGCTTGCCCAAATTCTTTCAAAGCCACTGAGTGTCACATGGAAGCAAGGAGAAAGAAAACGGTTAACTCTAAAAAAATTAGCAGCTGGCCATAAGGTATAGCAATGAATTGAATAGCTACGTTTCTGGACCATATGTGGCCATAATGACTAGAGAGGAAACATTTTCAGAAAATGTGAAAACTATTTCGCCCCCTCTTTTTTGGGGGAAAATTTTTTTGGGGGGGTTAAAATTTGACACACCACTTGTTGCCCTATCAAATCCAAACTTATTCTACTGCTTTAATAAAATAGTTTTTCACTCCTAATGAAGTTTGGGCATAAAATTGTACTTGCTATACTTATGAACTGGGGGAAAACATCAACAAAACCCTCTTTGCATAAGCAAAATTGTGAGTACAGTCTACATTAAAGAGACCTGCAAACAAGCACATAAGGAAGCACCCCTCCTTATGCTTCTCTCATGAACATAGCATTACCAACTAGGTGCATATATGAATCTTGTGTATGCCAACAATATGCACTGGAATTGCTGTTTACCTACTTTACTGAGTGTCTTACATGCATATCTTCATACTATACCGTTCCTAGGATTTTAAATCAATAAAAAAACCATTGTAAGCCCAACCATACACAGAAGATGAACTGGCACAGACCCCTGTACAAACAGAATACTGTTGCAGCTGGATGAATGATTTGTACCCATAATGCACTGCCCAAAATTCTTGTATCAAAGTCTGCCTTCTGCCTCTCACAAACATTATCCTGATAGTTACCTGGTCTCTCTCTGTGTGTATGTGTGTGTTGTGGGGAGAGGGCTGAATTTTTGATTTATCCATGCTTTTATTTATGAAAGCAGGAAAATAGGAATATCACTTGAGGATCTTTGTCTGATTAAACCCAGCATTTCAGCAAACTAAGCTCTTAACAAGCTGAAACATGAAAACCTCTGACTGAAAAATAGACTTAGGAAGTGAACAAGAATCATTTGGGTGCAGACAAGGATTAGGTTGAATCAAAGAAGATAAGATCACCCTTGGCTCTCTGACCGACAAACCTCACGTTACTCCACGGCAAAATGTATTTGTAATCCAGTGAAATCATCCGGCTGCAAAAAATTAAAGTCAGCTTCACTGAATGTTTGGTTAACATACATACATTAAACTTAGCCAAGACCTTTAGCCTGTGCTGTAAGAGGCACTTCCCACAATGCACAGCAGCAAACACAAATTTAAAATGGCACATGAACCCAGAGGCAAGGATACACAGCCAGTAAAGGAAAATACAAGAAGCTGCCTTTTACTGAGACAGACCTTCCGCCCACCTACACCAGTATTGTCAACTCAGTGAGATTTCTCAATGCCCTTAGCTTTCAAGGGTTTCTGGCAGGATTTTTTCCTAGTCCTACAGGGAGACACCTGAGATTGCCTGATATTTCCCTTCCAAAATAAATCTGATCCTGCTTAGCTTTCTTAATCAGACCTGGTGTCATCATGGTGTTAAGATAGATAAATCAGAAAGACTATTTGATTAGATTACATCAAGGTGAGCGCAACCCACCAATTTGGAGTACAGAGGTTAGAATGGTTTGAATTATTTCAGCTTTGTTTTTGTTTTTTCGGAGGTGGGTGGGTGAGGACACTTGCATAAAGATGGGAACCTCCCCAAAGAGAATGGGGGAGAACTGTCAGGAAATTTTGAGGTGTTGTCTTTGAGGTGTTGAGAATTATTAGTACTCTAGCTGTCAACCTGGGGGGGGGGACACCACACAGTATGATTCCTGGATATCTTTGACACTCCTGGATCCCTCGGTGGCTTTTGACACCATTGGCCACGACACCCTTCTGGACAGGCTCTCGGAGATTGCCTGCCCCCCCCCCCGGAAATTCAGGAGGCAACTGAAGATGTGGCTTTTCAGGGAGGCTTTCTACACTGACCTTAGCTGACCATCTTTTATCCAACACTGTTTTTGCTCTGCTGTTTCTGTTTTTATTGGTTAGTGTCTAAAATAAAATAAAATAAACCAACCAACCAATCGATCCAGGTCCTTAGTTTCCCCCAAACTGGCACATTTCTTGTAAAATCCTTGGGTGAAAATTACAACCAACCAATGGATCTGACTGGGGAAGCTGCCCATGGAGTGCTGGGCTCCCCTTAAACTTTTTAAGAAAATGTTATATATAGATAAAGAAAGGTATATGGATGGAATGATAAGACACTTATAACACTAGGCACGGCATGTTGGAAATGGATAAAAAGACATTCACTCTCTCTCATGTTGGAACATGGAACTGACTGCCACTTCACTGAGGACAGACAGAAGAAAGTATTTCACACAATGCATAAATAACATAAAGAAGTCACTGCCAAAAGATTGCATTCGATGGGTTTGAAGAATATGACACATTCACAAAGGAGAAGCATACCAATGACTATTTGTTATTAGTGTTCAGGAGTAGGCAACTGCAACAGGTCTAGGAGCTTATTTTATGCCTTCCAGCTACCTGGCACAGAGCAGCCAATCCATTTTGCTTGAAAATTTGGCACCTAACTACTACAAGCCACGTAATGGTGCCAAACCATTATTCCTTAATTTCATTATTCTCAAAATGCTTGCTTTAAATACGTTTCCCTGCTGGTTGCCACATAAATTTGCTGTGCTACAAAACCAAACTTTTCAACAATGCTGTAAAAATGAACTTGGAACCTCGTGTAACTCACAAGCAACAAAATGCCCACCCTGTTGTGAAAAAACAACAACCCTGCATGTCTGAATCCAGAATGGGGGTGGTGGAAACATCTTTCGATTCAGTATATCTAGCCATGCTGACAAAGGAAGTCTGAGACGTGTAGACAAAGGAAGTAATTTTTTCATGCTCTGTTCTGAATACTAGCTCCTGTGAGTGAAACAGCAAGATACTGTTTGTGCCTTCATGCCCAGCTTAGGAATTTCCCAGAATGCATCTGTCTGGTGACTGTTGGAAACAGAACGCTAGATCGCATAGACCATCTGCGTAATATAATTAGGACTCTTAATTTCCTATGTGCGAGAGAGTATGTGAACACAGGATAGAGACGGGACTTCCATGTTAACACAAAAGAAAGCAAAACACGAGAGGCTCTTCTTTTCATTTTCATGTTCTTTTCTTGATTTTCAAGACAAGAATCTTAAACACAGAATCTCTTGCTCACTTTGTGTTACCTATACAGTATACATATGCACATAAAGGGACATTCAATGTGCACACTTCAAATATAAACACACAAAGTGTTCTGTTTCTAGTGATTTCCGAGGGATGTTTGACAGCACACTCCATATTCACCATGTTCCTCCCACTCCTTTCCACTCTGCTCCTGTGTGTGTGAGAACATGTCCTTATGGAAAGACAGACAACTCTCGTACAATGACTGCACTTGCTACCTCTCTACTTACCAAGCCTCCACATGTCGAAAGTGCTACGGATGTGTTTTTGTGCAATCGCAAGACACCTTGATAAAAGCAAAAGTCCTCTGCTGGGTACGTCTGCACTGATTTGGTTCTTCCCTTGCCCAATGTCTGTATTGTAAATCCAGGGGCAACAAGAAAATCAGAAGTCTTCAGGTCAAGCTGGAACTCATGGCCAAATCCATGGAAACGGAGGTGCAAGGAGTCATTTCCTCCCTCTGAAGTTGATCTCTTCCTCCGTTCATGGTGTGCCACAGCATGGCTTATATAGTCCCCATTTTGATCTACTTCAAATGCTGTCACAATATCATATTCTGCAATCAGTGAAGATATAAAATCAGAATACCTAATGCACAAAATAGGTAATACATAATAACAGTGTGGTGACAGTACTGGAGCAGCACTTGGAAGAGTCAAAAATCTCTCAGACAAAAAACTCACTGGGTGACCCTGGCTCAGTCACACGTTCAGCCAGACCTAACTCACTGGGTTGTTGCAAGAAGAATGTGGAAAAAAGCATGTATGCTGCTCTGAAGTCACTGTAAGAAAGGTAGGACGTGCTTGTAAAATTAATTAATAAAAAATATTTAAGGCTTAGACCAGTGATGGTGAACCTATGGCATGCATGCCACAGCTGACACACAGAACCCTTTCTGCGGGCACCTGAGCCATAAGTCGCCGGATCGCTACTCCCCCCCCCCGCAGCCAAACCTCAGGAGGTGGCTGCAGCTGCGGAGCTGGCGCTTCAACAGGTGGCAGGCCAGGATCCGGGGCAGCTGGTGCTGGCGGTGGATCTTGAGTGGAGTCTTAAGGCACCTCTGTGCCCAGGATTCCCCCTTCCACCGCCACTTCTGGTTCCGCCGCGGCAGCACGCCACCTGCTGGTTTCTTACCACCACCACCCACCACCACCTGGTTTGGGCACTCAGGCGCCAAAAGGTTCACCACCACTGGCTTAGACCCACAGAAGAAAATTTCATAAATGTGGTATACAGTATGTTAATAAATGTAGAACAGCTCAAAAGCCCTACGAAACAGATATGGGGCCAAGGCCATCAATGCCCTAAATCTTAATAACACCAGCCATTTACTTGCATTTTACTTTATCTATGAGCACTCCACCCCTATCCAATACCACAGTCATAATCCATAGGGCTGCCTTTAACTAAGACCTCTGTCAAACCAACAGACAGTAGCGGATTCCATGCTTCCCCCTTGACATGTGCTTCCCCCCAGGTCACTGAGGCCGTAATGTTATCAGACCAGCTGTAGTAGTGAGGTGATGATAGGAACAACATTACTGCTTTACTAGAAGCAGTGGCTTCTCAGCTGCCTTTATTACAGCAGCACAGCAATAGCTCAGTTTTGCAACTCAGTCCATACAGGAAATGTGGAATCAGCAAACCTTCCTTTTGAGGCCAGAGACTTCAGTGTGCACTTGCAGGCACCTATGCAAACCAGTTTCCCTCCCTCTCTCCCTCTCCCTCCCTCCCTCTCTCTCTTTATATGCAGTGCCACAAGGAAGTACAGTGGTGCCTCGCTAGACAATGATAATCCGTTCCACTCAAATCGCTGTTTAGCGAAATCATTGTCTAGCGAAAAGCATTTCCCTATTGGAATGCACCTGTTTAATGCGTTCCAATGGGGAAAAATCGTTGTTGTATAGTGAAGATCAGCCACAGGAAAGCTGCTTTGCGAACTGCCGATCAGCTGTTTAAATAGCTGTCTTGCGAAGCTTAGGTCCCGAAAACACCCGTTTTGCGAGCGCGGAGGGAGCTGTCAAAATCGTTGTCTAGCGAAAATTGGTTTGCGAAACAGGGACCAAACACTGTCCGGTGAAATTCCCCCATAGGAATTACTGTTTTGCGAATAGCTATAGCGATCACAAAAAGTCAATGCCTAGCAAAAAAACCTGTCATGCGGGGTAACTGTCTAGCGAGACACCGCTGTACTCAATGCTTGGTATTCATAAGGCATGTAAATCACATGGAAGAGATCCCAGATTCTCTGCCCTGCATATACCCAAACTTATCTCATTTTGGAAGCCAAGCAAGGGTTGAGCCTCATCACTAGTTGGTTGGGAGGACTACCAAAAATACCAAGGATCTCAAAGCAGGACTATGAAAGAACCTGGCATGAAGAATCATGCTGCAAACCAGGTGGGCAATATTGGGTTAGATGGAGGGAATTACTGTTTTGCGAATAGCTATAGCGATCACAAAAAGTCAATGCCTAGAAAAAAAAACCTGTCATGTGGGGTAACTGTCTAGCGAGACACCGCTGTACTCAATGCTTGGTATTCATAAGGCATGTAAATCACATGGAAGAGATCCCAGATTCTCTGCCCTGCATATACCCAAACTTATCTCATTTTGGAAGCCAAGCAAGGGTTGAGCCTCATCACTAGTTGGTTGGGAGGACTACCAAAAATACCAAGGATCTCAAAGCAGGACTATGAAAGAACCTGGCATGAAGAATCATGCTGCAAACCAGGTGGGCAGTACTGGGTTAGATGGAGGTCTGGGTTTGTATACGTGGCCTTTATATATTCCTAGTAGCATCAGGAAGAGTGAGGAGGCAGATGCTAGGTAGCAGGGAACGGCAGAGAGATGAAAAGTATGCCACGAAACTTCCCTGACCTCTTTAAACTAGCTTGCTGCCCACAAATGCAGTGTATGATGGTAGCCTGGCACTAACGCCCTTTGCCTCGGACAGCAAAATATCTCAGGTTGGTCCTGGTTGACACCCAGAATGAGCCATACTGAGCTAGATGAGAAAGGGTCTGACTTGGTATACAGCTACTTCTTTCTATCAGTCATTGCGGAATCCAGCCTCCCTGCATTAATACATTATGACATTGTTACAAAAAATGTTTCAAAAACAGATCCAGTTTCCTAGTGTTTTTGGATGGAGCATTTGTTCAGCATTTCAAGTGCAGATAATTACAACATGCAGCATATTCTAAAAGCAGTGGGAACTGATTAAGGCTGTCATGGTAAATCTTGGTACATGTTACAGAGGAAAAGGAGGAAATTAAATGCATGATACAGCTCCATCTTTGGCAGCAACCATATATTACAACTAATTTCAAACACAGTAATAATAAACTTTCTGCGATATTTAAATACAATCTGTAGAGTATCTCAAATCTAAGGGAGTTCCAAATAAGATATTCACTGAATTTTTTTGTGACAGTAATGTTCAAGTTTAGCACCCTCTAGTGTTCTTTCACATCTCCATTTGCACAACGTCTCATAATAGTCTTGTCAGAGTTTCACCAGATTTTAGGAACAATCTGTGCTTAGATCGAGTGGTCTCACAAAAGGAAAAAGGATATAATGGTGAAAATGCATTAGAAGAAGTATGAAAAAAAAACAAAGTGTGCTGCTTCAAGCACTCTCTGGGCAGTTTACAAGTTAATTATGCAGGTTACACATTGCCTCCCCAGCAAACTGGGTACTCATTTTACCAACCTCAGAAGGATAGATGGCTGAGTCAACCTTGAGCCGGCTACCTGGGATCGAACCCCGGGTCGTGAACACAGTTTTGGCTGCAGTACAGCAGTTTAACCACTGCGCCACAAAGCTCACTGTAGAATGTGTGTCATCAAAAATTACCTCAGGAGTATAAACAATTGTTTCCTTTCTGTATCTAATTCAGGAGTCACACACAGCAAAAGAAATCACCTTGCCTGGGAGAAGATTTAGAAGGGAAATTTCTTTGAATATGTGTTTGCCCCTTAGCCTCCTCAAGTTATCAAGCTACAAATTATTTTTAATGGCCTGCTAAAAAAGTGCTTTCTACTCCTAAAAACAGAACTTGGGAAACTTATTTTTTTGGACTATAAAAATAAAATAAAATCCCCAGAATGTTCAAGATAGCCTGGCCATTGCAGAAATGCCACGGGCCGCCAGAAGAAAGATAGAATGTCTTGTACCTCCCACGTGGTCTCTACTCTGAGCAGGGATGAAGCCAAGTGTCCTCCCACACACCCAGCAGAGAAATACAGCAAGTGGCTGGAGGAGGGGCAGGATGCTCCATCCCGGTTCTAGCTGCTTACCCATTTGCCGGGGTGACATTCCTAGTCATTTCAGGTGACCATTAAAGTGGTCTAAAAATGAGGCCTTTGCTGTGCTAAACATTTATGGCACCACTACAGAATGGAACAGTTCCAGAAGGGCATTATGCATCTGGGTGTTTTATGTGTCTCATAAAATGCTGAACTTGTCATGATTATGGGAAAAGGGTGTAGATCATATACTCTTAAGCATTTGGATAGTTCAATAAGCCTCAGTTTTCATTTCCAGCTACACTTAAATATCTGAAAAGCAAAAACAGAGCAAGTCACAGATTGGCTCAAATCTTTACTGGGCTCCTATCGCCATGTAGTAAGACCTCACTGAGAGCTACAGTTATTCATTAGCTTGAATGTGTGTGGGTGTTATTTCCTCATCCATTAAGTTATTATTGTTAGGTTTTAAGTTGCAGGGCAGCAACTCCAGACTGGAAGAAAGCCAATAACAAATATATCAGTTTAATTTGAGAAAGCCGCACTAAAATAGCTTATATGTTATGTGCATATGGAAATCCATTACATACAGATACAAGCACACACACACACAAAACCCACATCAAGTATAAACTACACGTCACACGTACTATTATTCAAAATATTAAACAATAAATTAAAGAGTTTGACCTACTTATTAATAAAAACAGTTCCTGACATTTATAGAAAGGAGCACAATTTCTTAACAGCCCGGCTGCAAGGATATTTATGTGGAATTAGTCTCACAAGCCAGTGGGACATACTTCCTACTAAATGTGCTTAGTCAGCTGTGTAAACTAGATTTAATAGATTCATCCTTTATGCTCATAGCACTGCTATGTTCAAGCAGAATTCTGTAGCCAATCTCATGCATGGTTAATAGAAAGCAAGCCCCACTGTATTCAACAGGGTACTTAAAAAGCGCGCTTTGAATTTCGACCTTAAAAACATTTTATTTGGATGTGTGTGTCCTTCATGACCATCAAAAATGTATTTATAAGCAAGGAAGCTTTAAGACTGTCAGACAAACATTAGCAATGCAAATGTCATGGCATTTTGAATTCCCAAGAATATGAACTATTACAATACCCCCAGGAGAGCATATTAATATAATGCAAAGTTTGAAATATTACAGCTCATTAAAAGTTCCATCTTATCCACGTTTCCCTGGAAGTAAAGCTTTACTGATTACAATGAAACTGATTTCTGAGTAAACATGCACAGAGTTTTACACTGTGCAAGATCCATCACTTAAGAGTTAGAGGACACATACCTGTATATAATGAATTAAAAAGTAAGCACATCATTTGGCATCAGTTTCTTTACACAGTCGTGCAATTATTATTCAATCAGAGGATTCATACAATTAAGAAAAAATGGAGAGAATGGAAATTCTGTGGACTTACCACTGTGGTCCGTGAAGTCTAGCAACTCTGAATGCAGAGATGGAAAGAGGTTTGTGTTCCTTAGTCCTAGTTGACCCACACATAGCACAGGTGCACCCTAAAAGGTGAAATGGCACAAGTGATAGATGTAAGAAGGAGAACCAGAACTGAAATAAAGAGAAGGAGTAAGAGTGGGTGGGTGGGATGCTTGAGGGGTTTTTTACTGATATAATTATGCAGACAAAGTAGGAGCCTGAAAACATACAAACAAGCAATAGCATCCCCGTTGCGAAGAGAAACAGGTACCAGCCAAGGCATCATTAATACAAGAGAGGTAGGAAAGGGGAGCAAAAGGTAGAGCAGAGTCTCTGAACGGGTTGCTCTGGAAGGACCTACCTTGAGTGGCACCTCCAAGAGAAGCCACAGAAACAGCCCAGCGAAGCCGGTGGACGGCATCCTCCCGAAAAGAGCTTGCCAAACACAACCCCCTTAAGGATGGGACAACTCGGGAGGCAGGAGGCCGGCTCCTAGGCTGGGAAAGGAAGTGGAGCCGGCTTCCCGGGTGGCAGAGACCTGCATGCTCTGCAGGAGGTGGCGGAGCGGGGAGGGGAGGGGGTGCTGCTGGCTGGAGAGGCAGCCCTAGAGCGAATCCAGGACATGAAGGAGCAGAGCTCGCCTCACCTCCGCCACCCCCCTCGGCGGCCGCGCCGAGAAGGACGCCCAGTGGCTAAAGGGTGCCTCGCCAGCGGCGGCGGCGGCGGCGGCAGAATGCGCCGGCCAGCCAGGAGGCGGCGGCGGAGAAAACTGCGCGGG